AAGGTTTGTAGGCCGTCGCACAGCGAACGGCGGTATGCAAGGCCGGGTAGACGACCCGGAACAGCGTTGGGCGGGAGAAAACAACGAATTTGTGATTGAACGTACGGGGGCATAGGCGCCTGAGGAAGTAAAAACTGGAAATGTGGATCGAGTCGGGCTTGATATCATGCAGCCGCGGCAACCATGCGACCTGGGGAATTGATCGCATCCTTCGTGCAAAGTTATGAGATTGTGACACGCGTGTAGTGACACGCTCAGGGCCGGCGCGTAACGGAAACCCCGGAGGTCTGATGTGATGGCATTCTGAGAATTGCACGTTGAGTGGTTCTGTCCAAGAAGCCGTGCCGACCGGTGACAGACCTCTCTGCTAGTCCATGAACGGTGAAGGAGCAGTGACCATCGGCACAACGACTCGCGTGACGGCCCTCATTTCATGCATCGAACGCGGGCGGAAGAGCCGAACGGTGTGTTGAAGCTGTGCCGCATGCAACTAATTGATGCCAACGTTATGCGAATCTGCATCGCCTTATTATCGAGATTGCCGGTGACCTTGGGCCATCATTACGGCTACGAGCGTGCGGCGGGGCCTTGCACAGCCATTAGCGCCGGGAGTGAAAGCGTTGCGGGGTTTCGCGGAATACTTCCCCGCGAATCTTGTGATACGATCGGCTAAGGAATTATACTCTTGATGAAACCCCGCATGCGAGTCGTTATATCCGAGCGTTTGTAGCCGGCTCATCATGTAGTACAACACCTCGATACCCAGGTACGAAGAGTGGTTACGGAGCATTGGCGGTCAAGTCCCAGATGCTTGGGCAGGAACCGAGCAATACGATGATGGAAGACCGATGTTGTATGGTACCGAAGCACTCTGGGCGTAACGTGCTGCCGAATAGTGTAAGCGTGTGTGCAGATATGCTCATGACGTGGTGCTGAACATATCCTAGCCTCTCTTCAGTCGGCTTCTCCGATTTGCCAACCGGAGACCTGCGCGTATAGCTATTGACGACGTTCGGTTGAACTTGCAAAAGACCCATCTGGAGTTACTCTCGGATGTGCTAGCCCTGAGAGAAAGGCTTCTCAGCACGTTGACAAGTGCGACTCGTGAGGCACTAGAAAGACGGGAAGAAGTATACATCGCTGTCATAGCACCTGGAGGCTATGAATACGCAGTAGCGGTGTTGGCGATACTTGCTCTTGGAGCTGCTGTAGTGCCACTGACCCCAGCCCTACCCGTAGAAGAGGCAGTCTACTTCATCGAGAAGTCAAGATCAGTGCTCGTTCTTGCCAGCTCATCGAATATGAGGAAATGTCGCGACCTGGAAACCCGGGTTGCATCGGTGAGTAACAAGAGCTTCCAAGCCATAAGCATTCAGCCAACGAATTCGTGTCCTACCCTCCACGCTGGAGACATCATCATCTCTTCCGACCGGACTTTGGATGAGAATGCGCCCGCTGTAGTCATCTTCACCAGCGGGACGACTGGACCACCTAAGGGTGCAGTTATGCGAAGATCTTACATCTTCGATTGTGCGCTCGAAGTGGCAGATCATTACCAGCTGACGGAAGATGATGTCGCTCTCCACGTTCTTCCGGTGCATCATGCGACCGGTGTTGGCATCAACTTCTTTCCATCTCTCGTGGCTGGTAGCCGTATCGAGTTCCGCAGCGGAGGCTTTGACGAAGAGAAAATGTGGCAGCGATGGAAACAGGGCGCTTCCGACAACAGACGACGACTGACTGTCTTCTCTGGTGTACCCACTATATACATGAGAATGAGACGGTACTATCAACAACAAATAAGCAAGTTACCTGCAGATGAGATGGCGAAGTACGTCGCGGGCGCGAGACAGTTTCGAGCCTGCTTATGCGGAACGTCAGCACTGCCGCAGCCACTCGATGACTTCTGGAGGGATCTGATGCAAAAGCCGATCCTGCAAAGATACGGCGCTACTGAGTTTGGGGCTATCTTCAAGATGCGCCTCGGCGACGAGAGCGTGCCAGAAGGTTCAGTTGGTGAACTTGCCAGCGGCGTTGATGTCAAGCTATCCGAGGGAGACGAGGGAGAGGTGCTCGTCAAAAGCCCAGTAAGTCTTACATGTGTCGTTTTGATAGGATGCACTAAGCAACTTCAGCACATGTTCTCCAAGTACCTGCGCGATCCTGAAGGAACTGCAAAAGCTCATGATCGAGATGGATACTTCCGAAGCGGCGACATTGCGCGACGAGAGGGCAAATATTACTTCATTATCGGTCGAGCGTCTCTAGACATCATCAAGTCAGGCGGATACAAGATCTCGGCTCTGGACGTCGAGCGCGAGCTGCTGAGTCTACCATATGTAGCCGAAGCCATGGTGGTTGGTGTACCCGACGAGGAGTACGGGCAACGGGTCGCCGCACTAGTCTCGCTGCAGAATGAGGAAATGTCTGCTCCTTTCTCGGCTTCCAGCGATGGTTCTCAATATGTCTTGACGATCAAAGACTTGCGACGAGATCTACGGGAAAGGCTAGCTGGGTATAAGCTACCCACGCTCCTAAGGATTGCAGATGGGGAATTTCCGAAGACAGTTACAGGCAAAGTGCAAAAAAAAATTCTTGGGCCTCGCTTCTTCCCTGCAGATTATCATCGGCGTTCAGGAGTACAGGAATGGGACGCGCGATCTCCGAAGACCTTGGCGAAGCTTTGATCTTTCGGGCTTATCGTACCGAACATTTTTCTGCGCGTCATTTCGATCGAGATGAATGATCAACGTATGTTCGCCATAGCGCATATCTAGATGTTTACGGCTCATCATCGCATAAACGAAAAGTAACTGTACCATTCCATTGCAATGATAGTGGGCCCTTTCGTTGTCATGACGGAACAAAGATCATAGGGCAATGGCGCAGGGGCTACAGAACGTGTTCAAGTAAAGTAGCAAGTAAAATAACATTACACAATTGCAAAAGAGCTTCCTCGTGCTCAGTATTTTAGCGCACTTATCTTCTTAGTGTTCTCAGTGCTGCTTTGTACGTCGAGGTACCTCCTTGCTTCCTTCGAAGGTTTGCATGCGGCTTCGCGCGTCGAGGGGGACCTGATAGCATAGTCTCCACGAAAATATTCGTTGTCTTCGATAAAGGTGTCCATGGTCTGCTCGTTATAATCAATACTTTGGCAATAGACCTCTTTGCGCGGCCCGTCAATTCTTTCAGCAGATTGCAGAAAAGCGCAATAACCTCATCGGTTGACGATGTTGCGGGGACAGAAGAAATCAAAATGTCTAACTCGACAACGATGTACACTTCCCGACAAACGTTTTCGAGGGTAGCCCCAAGGATCTCAAGCCACTCCTTCGCCGTGGTAGCGTTGCGAAGCTGCGTGCAGCTTAGCGCCGTCGATTTCTGAGAGTGCGCTGAGTCGCCCAATGTAAGCGCCTGAGCGGCAAGTGACTTGAGAATGTCCAGCGCGTTCGGGGTTCTGGTGGCTCGATCAGACAGTTGTACGTTTACTGCCCAAAGTGTTGTGATGTTTTTGCTCTTCAATTCTTCAGTTACTCTGACGGCCGCGTCGCGCAACGCCCCTCGTTCCTGGAAAGTACCTTTGACCAGCATGAGTGACGGCTCTGAGTACTCTGCAAACCTTTTCAACGTCTGGGATTGCCAAAAAGCATTTGGAATGTTGACCTGCTGAGTTCGTCGGCGCAGATTTCGTACCATGACGGCCTGACTGTAGCTCTCAATTGGATCAAATGATGATAGCTCCGCTGCGATTCGCACCATTTCCGAGAATTGCAAATCCGATACCTTGTCGTTTGTATCCACGAGTGAGGATGAATTGATGGCTTGGTGATCTATGTACAGTAAGCAGGCGTTGACCTCGTCATATGAACACTGTTGACGTACTGATCATCATGCATCTCATCTCAAGGATGGTGCTTTCAGACCTCTCCACTCGATCAGCCATCAACTTCACGATCGTGTGCATCTGTCTCAGCTCCACATGAGACCCCGCAATGGCTAGCTGCTCGATATTCCGTGAGCCCGCCTCGATATTTTCCAGAACATCATGGTAGCGTAGCTCGGCAGGACGCGTAACAGAATGCACGATGTGACGCAGAGTACCCTCTTGGTACCAATCATGGGCGCGGATCAAGAACCGGATGATCTGTGCATACAATGCTTCTACAGCATCTGTCATTCTCGTCGTTGGGTACAAGATTGTCGCTAGTTCAATGCGAGGAAGAGCATCTGCGATACGAGCGAGACCCTTTGCTATGCTTGCAATGACACCTTCATGGTTCAAAAAGGCCTTGTTGTTGCGTTGTCAACATCGAATCGATCTCGATATCTCATGCTATGGCCGGGGCGACTCACTACGAAGAGAAATTTCATTGCGCCCCAAGCTAGGGCGACATACTCTGGATGATGCTGCGCCAGTATGTCGAATATGTTTCCATAATGTATCAAGCGGCTGGAAAACCGTTCTAGCCATTTCCCTGCTTTGTTGCTGCGAGAGGATGCGTAATTATTGCACGCGATCTTTACGACGTTTTCCAAGCCTTGCAAAGTGGCCGACTGATTGGCGAAATCGACCTTGCGCTTATCTTGTGTCAATTCAGAAGAAAAATGAAGAGACGCGAGCTTGTATGAGCTTTCTGCACTGCTTCCTGGTGTACTGCGAAATGTTAGCGTGAAGGCTAATGCAGCTACGACCTAGGGAGGCGCTTCGCCGCGGGACTGCCCTAGGGTCATGGCGGGCTGCATACGTTGTACTAGAACAGCCGACCCATCCTTCACTCAGTTGCTGCTGTTGCGTCGTCATTTTATGTTCTCGTCGTCGGTCTGGAGAAATGACGCAGTTTCTCACCCAGTTTCCAGGCTGCAGCGTTCAGCTGCCAAGCAGGTGGCTTTTGTACCAACCTCGTTGTGGTTAGACCCTGTCGTCTTACCTACAGACTCCTGTCGTCGTGCGGGGTCCTGCTATCTATGCGCTACCATCCTTCCCAGCCTATCTGTTGCAGATGTTCACCAAACCACTTAGACCCAAAAGAGGTCGCAAAAGCGATCCTGCTCGCCCCTTCCATTCCATACCCACTGCAGGCTCAACAAAAGCGAGAGACTACAGCGACGAGGCTGAAGACTCTGATCACGAGGTTGAAGAGTCTGGTGGGGACGAGGCTGGCGGGGACCAGACTGAGGGCTCGTGTGACGGTCAGGGTCCAACATTCCGCACTGATGAGGATGCATCCCAGATAGACAGTGCAGAGTACGAAACGTCCAGCCCGGGTTCATCTAGTCCCGGTTCTGAATCTGCATTTTCAGGTGTTCGTCGACCCTTGTATCTTGGGGGCAACGAGCAATCCGACCAGAAAGAAAAACTAGAAGCAGAAGCAGAAGCGGAAGCGGACGAGAAGCTCTTCAATATCGTAAAGAAATTGACCATATCACGAGATCAAACAGAATCTAGCAACTTCGCGACACAGAAACTTTTGGCGATCGCTGCGAACCTGGAAGTTTTGACGGAAAAAGTACCCTTCGAATTTTTGCCACCACCATCTCCCTCTCAAGGCAATAACGCTCTTCAAGACTATCAAATACAGCTTATGCTTTTGGAGCAGCAGAACAAAAAGCGAGTGCTCATGGCGCAACAAGAACAAGACAAGACGCCATCTGACATCCCTAACCAATCATTTCCTGGAAGCTCCCGTCTCGGCAAAGCCCCCGAACCCAGCTCTCCATATTTCATGCCTCTCGACATGCAACAGCCACCCTTGCTTACCATCCGAAACCCACCCATCGCTCACTCAATGGAAGCATCGACACAGATCCACGCCAATGCCGGTGAGTCAGAGCTTGTCAGCCGGCTGTTGAAACGGATCGATGATTTGGAGAGAAGCATTAAAGGATCGGAACATCCACTGGGGCAGGGTATCAGTCCTCCACGCTTCCAGGTGCTCCATATATTGGATGATGTAAATGGCAGTGTTTGTCTTCAAGAGCCGACTTGGGCTCTCGGAAAGGGGGGAGGTCTGCAGCTGAGAGCGGAGTCACCACTAGCTGACTTGAAAACCCATCTACGAAAGAACGACGACATCTCTTTCTTGGTATACAAGTCATACGCAACACCTAGAGTCAGCGCTATTGATTTGGCCGAGGGTCTTGAAACAGGCGTACTCCCTGCCCCACAACCGTCGAATGAGACCATCACGATCATGTCCGAAGAGCTTCGCGTGGCTTTGCAGATATTTCTCAAATCAGCGTGCACGCTTGATGAGACACAGCTACCTTCGGTCTTGGATAATCTACAGGCTCCCTACCTGTTCTGGTACCGTGGCAGATCAAAGGGACAGACTGTGTCGAATCAGCTTCCCAAGCACCAAGCGCATTTGAAGCTACTTTTCGATTGGATTGAACGCAATTACGCCGCCAAGTTTGACCAGTTCGAAGAGATGAAATCTCGTGGGCGCATATCTCATGCATTCACTGAATATCTATTCTTCCCAGGCGATGTCGTTGTTGACCAAAATGGCAACAAGACTCAGGCCTATCGATTGCGAGACATGCCGACGTTACAAAGGGCTTACGGACGTAACCATGATTCGCATCAATTTGAGAAATCGTCGCGTGTAGGATCAAGGGCGGATGAAAGGAATAAGGCCAACGAAGCATGGGCTTGGGATATGTCATGTTCGACTATCGTTTACGATGGCCAGTTCTATCGTCAAAATGAGACGCTCACACTTAAATTGGTCGCCGACAGTCACGATCAAGAAGTCGACATTGCTCAGTTGAGCATAATCCCCTTGCCATTCGTCAGTAAGAATCTACAGAACCAACTCTTGCAGAGAGGCCGTACATTCTGGTCATGTCGTGTCAAACGCCCGATCTCTTATGAGGGTGGGGATGAAGAGACGTCGCATACGGTAGGAACAAAGCGCTCAATCAAATCTTTGCTTTAAGCAAAGCTAAAACATGCTATAGTACGGCGAGCGATACGTAATCGACAACAAAACCTTCAAGAAGCTCCACGACAATGATCAGAAATCGAAACGAAACCAAGGCCCCGTGTTCATGAGTGGTAGCAAAGACAGAACGTCATTATTTGTGAAAAGAATGGACGAAGATGATCCTCCTCAAGCGCCCGACATATATCTGTTTCCGCCAACTATACCTGGATTCTCCCTGCGCCGCAAAGTGTGGAGTATGAGTTCTCTTAACATCTATCATGCAAAAAAGCTGACTACCCATAGTCGATCTGGTGGTCGACAAGATAGTCGACATCTCATGGAACAAAGAGGCCTTCAACCATCTAGTCGCTGACGACAAGACGAAAGAGCTTGTCCACGCTCTGGTGGCCGACCGAATCTCTAGCGAAAGAAACACCGACATCATCCAGGGCAAAGGCAATGGACTCATCATTCTTCTTCACGGAGGCCCTGGCACCGGCAAGACTTTTACCGCAGAGAGTGTCGCCGAGCTGGCTGAGAAACCATTGTATCCTGTTACGTGTGGTGACATTGGTACCGAACCAGAACAAGTCGAGAAATACCTCGAATCAGGTAAGTTCCAGTTGCAAGAAATGCACATGAGCCAATTTCTGACTTTGCACGTCCACCACTGCAGTGTTATACCTAGGTAGCCTCTGGGATTGTGTAGTGCTCCTCGATGAAGCTGACGTGTTCCTTGAGGAGCGAGGGATAGCTGATCTAGCACGCAATGCCCTAGTTTCCGTCTTCCTCCGTGTGCTGGAGTACTACGACGGCATTCTTATCCTCACATCCAATCGCGTCGGCACATTCGACGAAGCCTTCAAATCCAGGATCTCACTTGCCCTGCATTACCCCAACTTGGGCAAGTCGCAACGATGCCGTATCTGGAAGAACTTCCTGAACCGCCTCAAAGCGCTGAAAGAGCCGGGTATCGACTTCGATGACATCGAGTGCAATGTATTGGAATTGGCGGACGAGGAGCTCAATGGTCGACAGATTCGCAACGCGATTACGATCGGAAGGCAGCTCGCAAAGTTTCAAAAGAAGGAGCTGTCGTATGCGCATCTGAAGCATGTTGTTGAGGTAGCCGGTCAGTTTGAAACGTATGTCAAAGAGACGAAGGAGAATTTCTCAGATGAGCAGATCGCTCGGCTTCATGGACGCCGGTAGTGACCTCTTTCTCATCCCTTCCATTATTTAGTGGGCGGATTCAGTCATCGTGTATCTCTTGTGTGTTGCGGGGATCGTACACCAGTAGTGACAGAGGGTGGTCTTCGTCACATTCTTCCAACGAAGCGCATGCGTAGGCAATGCGACTTCCATGACGGTCTCTTCACAGCGCCAGCAGGTGGTCTCACCAACAAATATTTAATACACAAGGGACTCCCTCTATCTCTTTGCAACCATCGTGGCGCTTAACAACTAGGTTTTATCCTTACCGAAACCTACCAAAGTTTGCACGAGCTTTTGACAGCTTCAGCGATGGATGCCTTACACTTTCTTTATTTTATCAAACGCGAGTTTGACTGGCATATGCGACAGCACAGAGGATTGGAGACATATCGTGCGCCATCTCTTACGAATCCTATTCACCCAATGTTTGCTTTGGATCGCTGGGCCACTGGTCCAGGGCAAGACACCCTACAACTCTACCGCAGCATGCGACCTGCCTTGCAACTTGCGTCACTATGGCTCACCGAAGACATGCCCCTGCTTTGGTTCAGTCACTTGACCTTTGGACATCGTCGCCATAATGCGGCCGGCCAAGTGTACCTGGAGAGAAATTCTCATTATAAGACCCTGGGAGCCCTTGCTACTGTCAAGGCGAACCTAATCGAATTTGGAAAAACGAACTTTTTCTTGTTTTACCATCCTAGTGTGAGAAACAACTATTTCGGCTGTACATATCGTCAGAAAGAATCGTTGCCATACTTTAACGAGTTCAAGTCCGCTGACTTTCCACTTGCTGTCTCTAGTAAGGGTGTTCAAAAGCCTTGCATCGCCCTTACAAGGGGCTTCGTCAAAGCCCTTCAGTCGACGAGTATAAGTGAAAACGAACGATACAGAACCCTTTTCATGCTCGCCACTGTTCTGTGCCATGAAGTTGCGCATGGGTACCACATGTTCCATCATATCAGTCCTGAGCCACTGTGGACTGGAGATGAGAAGGCCCCAGAACTAGGCTTCTCGTGGGAACTGAACGTGTTAGGTCATGTACCGATGCCTACCGGTAGGAGTGGGTTAGACGGCCAATTCCACGAACTACACGCGATCCGCATGCTGGAAGTTCCATCAAGCGCTGATGAACGTCTTAAGGTTCTCCTCTATCTCAAGGGCAATTCACGTGCAGAGTTCACGACACGAGATGCTTCCGGACACCATCGCAAATGGCCTGTTGTAAACGGCGGAAACTTTCGTGGTGCGAAATGGACACTGAGCAGCGACGCGCTCTACTTCATCGCCTCCTTCCACGACGTTCCCATGCACTGGGTAATCTCTTGGTTCCAGCAAGATGTCTGGGAAACGCTTAAGGCGCGATGGGTGCAAGCAAACAGGTTTGAACCTCCTGCTCTCGGCCAAGCCTTCATGATCATCTACGAGAGAAATCCGCACGGAGTGCAGGTTCATCGACCTCTTTACCCAGACAATCGTGTAGACGCCACAATACTCGAGAAACGTCACAAATCAGTCCAGAAATAGGCTGAGGTGCGGGTGGGAAGTTTGAGGGGGTTGAGATGCAACTGTTGCGGTCACCAAATATACAGATAGTTATTGACTTGTTATTAATTTGTCGGCACGGAACTGCGATGACTTATTAGATAGTTGAGCGATACAGCTAGAATTTAGTCATAAGTCCGAGCTGAATGTGCTTAGCCATCTTTGCGATTGCCCATGGGAAGCCTGAAGTTCACCTAGAGCTTCTTCTTCCAGAATCCTTGCGTAGGTCACGCCGGAAGACCCTTCCCATGTCTACGCTTTGAGGAGAGAGTTCTAGTGCTTACTACAACATATAGGCTTGATAGGTTCGTTGAAGAAATATCGGAGACCGGATGATAGAATGCCTGACGAGAGCCGTGATGTAGAGAATTGTTTCGTCTTCGTCGGCGTCGCGGCGGACATCGGCGAACGAAGCCCGGATTTAGCAATGCGCGAACACAAATTCCGGCGCCGGCTATCGTCGTCATCGTTCTCATCACGACAGCACCGGGAATCAAGCCAATGCAGTGTAACGCCATGGCGTCATGATTGGCTCTCTCGACAGAATGGGCTAGAATGCCGGGCTATCTTCTCTGTCTTCATGCACGGAAACGGCTGAGATGATGGAGCCGACCCCACCTGAAGCTTGAACGACTTAAGGCCCTTCCACCCCGCCAAATTTCGCAGCCGGCATCAAACGTCACTCCAAACTCCCTCTACATCCATCAATTCCTCTTACAAACCTCCAATATGGCCTGCGATAACTGCAAGACCGGCTTCAAGTGGGGCGCTGAGTCCGTTGGCAAGGAAGCCAAGCTCGACAACATCGACTGCTATGTAACCGGCGACAACAAGGATGCCGCTATCCTTATCATCACCGATGTCTTCGGCTGGACTCTTCCCAACATCCGCATTCTGGCAGACCACTACGCAAAGGAAGCCAATGCGACCGTCTACGTTCCCGATGTGTAAGCAGCTACGCGACGCGACGCATACATTCAGCGCAATGCAACCATGGGACTAACAGCCATCACACAGATTCGGCGGCGAAGTCGTAGACCCCGACGCGATGTCCGACCCCGAGAAGGCTAAGAAATTCGACGTCATGGCCTTCATCGGCCGCAACAACAAGGAGATCCGCTACCCCGAGATCAAGCAGCACGCCCAGACCCTCAAGTCGCAATACAAGAAGGTTGCCGCCATCGGCTTCTGCTACGGCGGATGGGCCGCCTTCAAGCTCGGCGCCGACCCCTCGCTCGTCGATGCCATCTCGACAGCCCACCCCTCCATGCTCGAGAAGTCGGAGATCGAGAACGTCAAGGTCCCCGTCCAGGTCCTTTCCCCTGAGAACGACCAAATGTACACTGAGGAGCTGAAGAAGGCTACGTTGGAGACGCTGCCGAAGACTGGTGTCCAGTGGGAGTACATTTACTTCCCTGGTCTGAACCACGGCTTTGCTGCGCGTGGTAACCCCAACGACCAGAAGCAGAAGGATGGTCTGGAGAGGGCGAAGAGGAGTGCTGTGAACTTCTTCAATGAGTTCCTGCACTAGGGAAGATGCTACAGTAGCCATACGACCTCTTGAACGAATTTGAATGAAATGATACCTCCAATCTGGTTTCCACTTTCCATCTGATCCTATAACGGAAAGACGTCACGTCACGACTGGACTGGTGAGGATATTGATGTGGATATGTGAATGAATTGCTGATTACTGCTGCTACCATGTGTACGTTTCGTTAACGCCACGCAGAGTCCTCGTTTTAAATATATACATGAAGGTCTTTTCGACTCCCGTCAGGTACGAGACCATGATACCATCCCTCCTGGCAACTTAGGCGCTATTGACCAAGCGAGCGAGCCTGGATCTGGTCTCCCAGCCCCAAGTGCCAACACTGCGCTTAGCCATAGCAGCAACGCTCTTAGCATAGTTGTTCGTGCCGTGGCTGGGATCAGCATCCTTAGCCTTGCAAGAAGCGCCATCCGAAGGGCCACCAAGGGGACCCTCGACGGCAGCAAAGTGCTGCTTCTCGCTGGTCGTGCCGACCATGTTCTTCGCAGCCTCAGGAACCCAACCGTTGATGAAGTCACCGTGCGAGCACCACGCAGGTCCGCAGGCCAACTTAAACGGCGCGGTGGTACCAGACCAGCCGTTGGGCAAGGCCTTGCGCATGTCGTAGCGGATGGAGAAGCGGAGCTGGGGCATAGACTTCATGCCCTTGGGGCACCAGTTGGGCGTTCCGTTGTCGCGGCTCTTGTAGCCGGTCTCGAGGGTCTCTTCGTTGACACACTGGGGGAAGAAGAGGAGTTGCTGGATGTGGGTCGAGCAGGTATTGGTGGGGAAGCCGTTGGCGTCGAGAGGGATGTCTTCGCTCTCGCAGCCCCATGAGGCCTTTGCGTTGACGTCCATAGCGTCTGGTGTCATGGCGTCGGCTTTGCCGGCAACCATCTGCAAGTCTTGTGGGATGGCGACCTCAGCAGGGGTCTCGCCCAAGTTGTAGTATGCGCTGAAGCGGAAGACGGGAACGGGCTCGTAGTTCTTGCCATCTTTGGTGTATAGGAAAGTGGGCACCCAGTAGCTCGACAAGTCGTTGGGGTTCTCGGCGGTGGTGCAGCCTTTTTGGAGTTCAGCGCTAGTCTTGGTGCCGGCGACAACGGCGTCGGAGCCGTAGAAGGAGTGAAGATGCGACTTGTCGAACTCTCCAGGGTAGACAATGGGATCGATGTTCTTCTCCATGAAAGGGGGAGGAATCTGGATGACGGTGTACGCGTTGGCGAACTGAGCGAGCAGACCCGCAGCAAAAAGAGTGTAAAGAGACATCCTGTGCCTTAGTAACGAATGTAATAAATGATAGAAGAAGTTGAAAAGATAGTGAAGTTGGTAAGAGAATGGAGCGCGATGAAGAAACAGTAACGCGAGGAGCGCTCGTGGTACTTATGCCTGAGGCTCGCGCCTCGTGCCCACCATGCCACAGCCTAGGGCATCCTTCCCTCGGGGCGTCCACCAAAGTTTCAAACCTCCTGGTGTTTTCGCCCAAGCGAGGCATCTTCGCCGTTAGGCCTAGGACTATTGTGGAGGTTAGGGACCGCGGCATGAACGACAGGAGACGTTGCCGAGGCGCTAAGCCGGCTGCGGAGCTGCTCATTGGCGGATCGCCCGTGCCAAAACACTAGTGTCCGCTGTTCCGCGTTTAACAGTTTCGAAACTGCGAAACAAACTGCCTTTGTCCTTGCTTTTCATTTCCTCCGAACAGTAATCGGCTTTCTGGATACGGATGCGTTTTGTGGCGCTATACGCTGGGGCATTGCGATGTGGCGTGAAGAACATGATTCACTGCGATTAGAACTAGAGGGCGAACTAGTACGATTGCAGTTATTCGTGCGCGTATCTACGACATCCGAGGACTCCAGTACTGAGTGTTGAGCAGACCTGTTATCATTAAGCTAACTTCGAAGGCTGTGCTTCCAAAGTTTTGTGTGGACATCACGTGCGTGGCACAGCCA